TTGGACTGATGTGAACCTGTTTAAGCACATGTCTTGAATTAATAAGTTCTAGATCGTATTTTTTATTTGAATTTAGGGTGTTTTTATGTTGAATTGTCAGGGAATTATTGAACTCATGTTTCCTAGTTTTCTTCCTAAATACAGTTCAGTGAAGAGCTTTTGAGATATTATCCTTTGTAGTTCTCTAATTATTATAATACATTACAAAAAACCTCACTTATCTTGGTTTCTTTTTAATTTTTTTAAATAAAATTTCTTTTTTAGTTGAGTCACAGTGAGATCACAGTTACAAACATTGGGTTTCAGTCATAAAATGGTCCTTCACCAGTGTACATTTCCCATCACCAATATCCCCAGTTTACCACTCTCACTTATTTTGAAAGCAGTTACCCTCTGTCTATTTTTTGAAAGATCTCTTAAAATATATTCCTACAAGATCTTCTAACAATCTATGTTAATATTTAAAGGTCCTCATCAGTACAAATTCATCTAATATTTCATACTTGTTACTTTTTTTAAACACCTCTGGCAGCAGGTTAGCATTATGAACACAGACTTATTGTTTCTAAGAGGACTCCATTCTTTTGGTGAGTACTCCTCTTGTTTTTCTTGCATAAAGATTTTTCAATCCTTCATATCTCATCATGTGAGTCATGCACTGAAAACACTATTTTTTCCTTGTTTTATACATGTAATGATAAAATTCCATAAAAATGCCCAAATTTACCTTTGAGTTACTAAACCAGGACATAAATCAAATGCTTAAGTTTTTGTTTGCTTAGTTTTAATCTGTGAGCAATATTTGATTGTGCTCAGGTCTTACTCTTGACTCTGACCTTAGGGATTACTCCTGGTGGGGCTCATGGGACCATATGAGGTGCTAGGGAGTGAACCCAGATTGTCCACAAGCAAGGCAAATGCCCTGATGACTATTACTCTGGAGTCTAAATGTTTAACATTTTGTGTCTTCTCTGTCCCTTAGAAATAGTCAAACATCTCTCACAAAAACATTCTTTCTATAAACTAATGAACTACAAATCCTTGGACCTAAGTAAAAAATTTAAATCTGCCTTTCTCAGCAGTCACAGACCTGTTGTATAGAATACAACTGATAGTAATCTTTAAAGAGTCAGGTCAAAGTTAGAAAATGCATTATTTATCTACCTTGGTTTCCCAAAACTACCAATTGGTTGGTCTTTGATTTTGCTACCAATAAGAATGTACTATCCACTTAAACTTTTGTATATCTATCTTTTGTCTCTGAAGAATCAATGCTTATCTAGGACCTTACTATTAAAATGTGAGTATTACGATGGGGAGTCTGTTAGTATTAGAATTAATAAATGATTGCTCCAAAATTTGTCTCTATTTATCATGGTCCAAGTTTTAACGTTGGGAGAGACTGGTAAGTCATATACATATCAATAAAGTAGAAATTATTGAAAGTTGTGAGATAAAACTTATAAATGACATTTTGACTGCTACAGTTCATTTGAAATACAATAGAATGCCTAGGAAGTAAATTAAATTCAGGATTCAGATAGGCTACCAAAGGCTTATTTGAACTGAAAAAGATATAATTTGAAAAAGTATTGAGTTAAATGATTAAGAAAATCAAGCAAAAAATACACTAAATACACAAAGCTTTGTTAAGCCAGTTACTTTATATATCACTATTCTATTGGTAAAATCAGCCCAAAGTTGGGTCCAGGGAGATAGTACAGGGGTCACAATGTTTGTCTTGCATGCAGCTGACCCTGGTTCAATCCCTGTTGCCACATAGGTTCCTTAACCAACAAAGGAATCCCTGAGCATAGTCAGGAATAAGCCCCATGCATCATTGGGTGTGGTGCAGATATTATAAATCAAACCAAAACATCAGTCCAGAGGTAAGGAAAACTAGTTCATTTTGTGTCCCAAAGAACCCAAGCATAGGAAAGTAGAGTTAAGAGCTCAAGGGCACACACTCCTCCTGCTCTTTCATCCTCCTCAAGTCATTTATATGAATAAGCAATCTGCTCAAATATTCATGAAAGTTGAATGTAATGTTTCTATTTTTACAACATGAGTTAAAATTCAGTACTAACTTTGAATTTTAGCTTTGAATCATTAGTCAACCATGAATCAATAACCACGTTGACTACCTTAAGGGAAAAAAATGTGTCAGAGTTGTTAAGATTACTAAAGGAAAAAAAAAACTTTATTCCTGACATAGCATCTGAAAGTGAAAGCAGAATATGCACAAATCAATTTTAAAAAATGTATATATTACAGAGAAATTGATAATACCAAAATCCCTCTAAGCAATAAAATGAGAAGAAAACAACTGTGGTGAATGTTGGAATGTAGAAATGAGGTTTGTTTATGTAGTGATGTTAAATTTTACAAGTTTCAACCTTTGCCGAGTTATCAACTTAGAAAACAGGTATTAGAATCATCCTGATTTTATTGACCATGAAACCAAGGAGAAAGAGGTCAAGTATTACTCTTTTCTTTTTTTTTAAATTATTTTGAATCATCATGAGATAGTTACAAGCTTCCATGGAGGTCAAGTATTTCACCAAACTCTTAGAGCTGGTGAGTGGCACAGTGAGATCTGAACAAGGGCTCTACTAACCGTCCATGTCAAGGTCCCCACACCTTCTATGACAGGGTCCCAGGTCAGAACCAGGCTGTTTGACTAAAGACAACTAGTCATTCTGTGACTATTTGATACATTTAACAGGTGAAAACAGTTCCTCCCTGTTGTCTAAGAATTAAGCTGAGACATTTAATTATTAATTACCTAAACTGTGAAAATAGAATACACTCCTGCAGGGCTGAACAAATAGGCAAAGACCTTGCTTTGTTAGATGCGCAGTACTATGCACTCAATCACACTATAGCAATGCATTATGGTGCCTCTTAATTTCAAAAATAATGATTGTTCCCATTAGTTTGGAAATATGAACACTAGACTCTCCCTAAGATAAAGTTACCCTTAAAAACTGAAAAAAAAAAACTACCTTAAAGAATGCTTATTAGAGCCGAAGACATAGTACAGACTTACCTACAGCTCTGGTTTGAATCCCGGACACCACATAAGGTCTCCCAAGCTCTGTCAGGACTCACTCCTGACTACAGAGCCCCAGGGGGTCACTCACTCATGAGCAAAGAGCCAGGAATAGCCCCCGCAGGCCACGTTCTTCACCCCACCAAAACCCATGTACGCACTCAAATGAAAGCTATTTAAAATTTCTGATAAATTGGAAGGCTGGGGGGATTCCAGTTTAGGAATAGAGCACCTTTTAAAAGCCATTACATACCTACCATGATTTTCTGAACTGCACACTGAACCACATATCTTTGTGGTTATTGAACTTCTCTACTATAATCTGTCAGCCCTGTCACCCAGGAACAGTTTACTCTTAGGGCCCCAGATTGCTTCGTTTTGTGTCCTTCAGGATCTCTAGACAGTAATAATTAATTGATGTCTGTACAAAATTGGAGGGGGAGGTATTTTGTATCAAAAACTTTCGCTCTACCATTAGGATTCTTCCCCCCCCCCCCAAAAAAAACTACTGTTTGCCAGATTTCAATTCCTCTTAAGCAGATTTAGCTTTTTTCTTAATGATAAAGACCCACCTCTTAAATTAACCGATTTACAGACTCAGTAATAGGAATGAGTATTCTAGAGACTTGCTAAGGCCCTTCTACATTCTAATGATAAAGGGCAGGGCTCTGGGAATACACTCGACCCCTAATCTTGTGTATATTCTTTTCTTTGGGGTTCTCTGGATTAGAAGGTGTGCGCAATGTCAGCAAAGAAGAAGCCTCCGCCTTCATCCTGGCCCCTAACCAAGCAATCAGGGTCCTGGGGAGGGCCCTGTATACACACGAAGGTCCAGAGTCCTGGAGAGTCCCGAGCACACGTGCGTGCCCATGTAGGGTGTGTTTTGCGTGCATGCGGCAAGAGTCTGCCTTAGGGTCCCGCTCTTTCTCCTGATCTCTGCGGAATCGGGCCAATTCCCCAGAACTCAGGTAGCCCCTTTTCCTTCTCTGGTGACCGTCACCGCGGGGCTTCATAAATCTGCTAGCCCCGTCTGAAGAACAGCTAATAAATGACGATGGACAAGAGAATACAGGAACGAGGGGGGGCTGGGGGTCGCGGTGCAAGAGCCGATGCCTGCGAAGCACCCAGACCGTGAAATTCTTGGTTTTCATTGGCAACTCCCCCCGCCCCCCTCCCCTCCCCCCCTCCGCAGGATCCCTTTGGGGAGACAGAGGAAGCCCGACTCTGAAGTCCTCGGAGCTGATTTCTTTCTGGGAGCGCCTGCCAAGCACTGCTAGGGGTGCGCATCCCGCACGGGGTTAAGGGCTGCCAGGCGGGCGCTGGCTGCGAGTCCCCGCGCTGCGGCGCGCACTTTGCGCTCCCGGGGCGTTTGCGCTCGGAAGACGCGCCCGCGCCCCAGGTTCCCAGGCTCGGTGCGGGGTTCCCAGACCTCAGAGCTGCTGCCTCCTAAGGGAGTATCGAGAAGCTCCTTTCTCCAGTGCCTTCCCTTCCCCCACCTTTCCCCCCACCCCTTCCTGGTTGTTCCCCCCCCCACACCCCCCTCCCCATCAGGAGCTTCTCCAGCGCCACGGAGCCCGCGAAGGGGTACAGGTGCCGCCAGTCGAGCCGCTGCCCCCCTCCTGCCCCCGACGCCACCTCCTCCGCTCCGGCCTGGGGGCTTGACCCAGCTGCGGCAGCGGGGACGGTCTTTCTTTCCCTGACGCCGCCGCCGCCGCCGGAGACTCCCAGCGCTCCCGCGCGACCCCGCGCCGGGCCGGGCTGCGCTAGCGGCGGGGAGGGGCGCGGGGGGCTCCGTCCCGGGCCGGCTGGCCGCCGCGTCGTCGTCCTCCTGGTCCTGCTCTGCCTCGTCCACCTCCTCCTCCGCATCCCGCCCCGCCTCCGCCCGCCGCCGCCGCCGCCGCGGCCCAGCCCGGGATCGCGGGCGCGCCTGCCCCTGCCCGCCGCGCCCGCAGCAGCATGCTCTACTTCCAGGTGGTGATCATGGCAGGGACGGTGATGCTGGCGTACTACTTCGAATACACGGACACGTTCACCGTGAACGTGCAGGGCTTCTTCTGCCACGACAGCGCCTACCGCAAGCCCTACCCGGGCCCCGAGGACCGCAGCGCCGTGCCCCCCGTGCTCCTCTACTCGCTGGCCGCCGGCGTGCCCGTGCTCGTGGTAAGCCCGCGCGCCGCTCGCGCCCTCGGGGCTGGGGAGGCCGCTGCCTTCGAAGTTCCTCCAACTTGGAGGAAGCCCCTTCCCCGGAGGACCTTCGTCCCGGGGCTCGGCCAGGGGGAGATGCCGCCGAAGCTCCCCCACCGACCCCCTGCCGAACGGCCACCCCCGCACCGCCCTGCTGCGCTGCCCACCGCAGCGGAGACTTGGGGGAGCTGGGAGGGGAGTGGAGGGGACCGGAGAGGGGTGGGGGTGGCCGCTGCAGAAGGGAGCCCGATGGGGCGAAGGGTGGCTCCCTGCTGGCCTCGCTCCGCCGCCTCCCCTCCAATTGCACCTGAAGCTGAGCAGCGGCGGGGGTGCCCGGGGGTGCCCGGGAGAGAGAGATCATTGCCCGGGTGGGCAAGGCAAGCCCGCTTCCCGCGATTGTTCGTTCTATTTGGCCACCTCCTGCCTTTGCAAATCAAAGTACTCAATGGCTGTCCAGGGAAGAAACACCCTCAATCAGAAAAAAAAAAAATTGAGAATTTTGAAAGGCAAAGATGATAAGGGTCCAGGAGCAGCTTTTCCCGAAAAAACAGCGGCTCTGCCATAATTACAAGATTTCTTTAAAGGCTCTTTCACTCCCTCCTTGGGCAGCATTAAGTCCTTTTCTTTTGGAGGCTCACTGAAATAGCCTTTCTATTTAAGGAGACTCTGTGCGTGTGTGTCTATAGAGACAAGGCGCACACACACGCACACACACACATAAATATATGCAATTATTAGGATAATCACATGATTATCTACACATGGGGAAATGATGCAAGGATATTGGTAGGAAAATTGGTGGTGCTGCATCAGAAAATGTTCCGGTTTCTTGAAAATTATTAATGCATTGGAAATTCCTTCCCTGTGATGCTCCTGTTTCTCATTCATATTCTCCCTCCTCCCTCTCCTCTCCTCTCCTCTCCTCTCCTCTCCTCTCCTCTCCTCTCCTCTCCTCTCCTCTCCTCTCCTCTCCTCTCCTCTCCTCTCCTCTCCTCTCCTCTCCTCTCCTCTCCTCTCCTCTCCTCTCCTCTCCTCTCCTCTCCTCTCCTCTCCTCTCCTCTCCTCTCCTCTCCTCTCCCCTCCCCTCTCCTCCCCTCCCCTCCCCTCTTTCCCATTCCTCTCCCCTCTTCTTCCATCACTTCCTTTCCCTCAGCTCCCCTCCTCTCCCTTACTTTCCTCTACTTTCCTCTTGTCCCTTCCCACCCCTCATCTTCCCTCTTTTCCCTCTCCTCATTCTTTTTACCTCTTTTTCCCCTTTTTTTCTTTCTTCTCCCCCTATCTCTTTCCTCTTCCTTACCTCTAATTTTTCATTAAAAATAGGAAAGGGAAGAGGACGTTTTATTTTCGGTGGTTGAAGATGAAAGTTGTAATAATGAATATTAAAAATGTCAGTTGTATTTAGAAGGCTTAGATTGCCATGTTTCCTATGATTTTAGGGGAAATTATTATTAGGCAATTTATAAAATAATATCAGGTCCCTAGCACACACCATGGAATTCCATGAAACACCCAAGGAACTTGACAACTTCAAAGCAACTTTATCACAGACACTGTGATAGCAGACTTAAAATTCAGCTCCAGCATACTGGTTTGAAAAGCGGTAGACCTTGTATCAGAAAATGTTCTGTTTTGTGCCTTATTTCTGAGTCACTAAGTATGTCAAGACCCCAAATCCAGCTTCAACTGCATGTTCTCTTTTCCTCCATTTCAAAAGTTGAAAGAAGAGGGGGAATGTCTCTCTTAGAATCCTCTTGCTTCCTGCAGATGTTGAGTTTGCAGGCACTTATATTCCGTAAAGATGATATAACTGAAGGATTTTTCAAGCCCCCTTTGCCGACCCCCTCCCCAGCACAAGTACATACTGAACCAATGACTTTGATTATTCTTACTTCGGGACACCTAGGATAGGAAAAAGAATTGGTTAGTTATTATTGAATTCCTGTGGTGTGCTGGGCACTGACTGATGACAGCCACATATATTTCTCAAAGAAGCCCCCCCCCATAATTTATTCTCTCCACTTAACACTTGAGGATCCTGGGCAGCCAGGCACCTGAAAACAGAAAGGGATAGGTATTATGGTTATACACCTGTGGCACTGATGCTGAATGCCTTGCTTTGTCTTGCATTCTTTTTTTTAATGTCCTTCCAAAGAAAACTCTGAAATAAGGTAGGAACTGGGAGATGGTGCAGATGTTTTCAAGTGTAAGCTGAAAGGTCTTCAAAGGGAGACTCCAACTTGATTTCCCTGTTTTGAATTTCAGTTCTTAAGGTTTAAGAGAAAGAATTTTGGAGTCAATGTGGAAAGGAAAAAATCCTGGTTTAGACAACATAACTCTGTTTCCTGATGACCTTCATTTCTCCTCTGTACTTCTTGATAATACATAACGCTCTCCACTGTGAAAAGTTGGAAACAGAAGTGGCAGTTCTGCCTTGCCATTCATGTTGGGAGCTTTGGCTTAGCACACACTGTCATTTTGCATAAAAATAGAATTATTGATAATGCTGTCAGTAGTGTCCATCATTTTTTGAGGAATATGCCTTATCTAATTTATATACCTTATCTGTATAAGATTTATATTTTAATGAAAGCAGGTATTACAATTGTCATCTAACATTTAGGAAACCTGAGACTTAGAAAGACTAAGTAACTTGCCCAAGGACCAGAGCTAGAAATATAACACTAACACTAGCTTTTTAACCCGGCTCTTCCAAACTCTTTAAAAGCCTGTTTACTCATAAGCAATTCCTATACATACATTCCTTATTCTCCCCCTCTATCTCTTAATTTTCTTGGACTGTAGTGATAAATATTCATTATATATGTTTTGAACCATTAAAACTCATCTTCATACCTTATGTGTAAGTACCTATAATTCTTATAACAACCTATAGTTTTGTTTTACACTTCCTAAATTTATCTAAAAATTGAAAGCAGTATATATTTTTAATTCGCCACTTTTGTAGCCCTTGCCTTAGGGCCAAGGGTAGGATTCAGTGTTTCCTTTTACTGTGCCAGAATTGAGCTCTACTTGTGTTTTACCAGGGACTGTTTGTTTATGCTTATTAAGTTTCAACTTCCTAAACCACAAGATTTTTTAATATTAAATTAGATATAATATGTAAATGTCATTTACTCTCAGAGTTTATTTTCTCTAAGACATCATTGTATTATTAACATTATTAAGCTAATGATTTGGGAGATGTTTATTGAATTTCTGTGTTGCAAGGACTGTATCAGGCAAAGAAGAGGTTATAAAGGCAACTTTAGAAGTGAACCATGGTTATTGGGCCTAAAAAATTAGGGCTTCCTTTGGATAATTAGGGCCTAATTAGGTAAACAGGACAAAGGCATAATATAAATTATGGTAATCAAGTTTGCTATGTTTCCATCTCACAAAGATATTTGGTGTTTGAGAAGTAGATGAGATCATTTTTATTTGTGAGTGAGAAGCCTTCATGAAGAAAATTGTGGTATTGGAGATATCATTCGAAGAAGTGGTTGAAACAAATTTTGAGTCAGGATGTCACAGAAGTCGCTGTATGCTACATAGAGAGCAGAAAAATGCAGGCTGTATTCTCCAGCTACAATTAATTTTGCTTGTTTCTGAAAATGGTGAGTGGGGAAATCTGGGGTCAGGGTGGGGTGGCATATGGTGAGGATATATACTAGGGTCTCATTGGTTAGTAGTTGGCATACAAAGCTAAAAGTCTTTCTGAATTAGCTGGGAATTAGGTGAAGACAGAGTATTACGGGTGGTATTTTAGGACATCTGGGTGACAGCAGGTCTCGCCTAGCATTAAAGTATCTATATAAAATTATTTCAAATGCTTTTAACTCTGAGCCTGTTGTGTGCTATAAAAATAACACTGATTTTAATTGTGTTTTCTGAAAACCCCTGCAGTTTGGGCTCACATGCAAAGATACCATGACAAACTCTTTGACAGCAGAGTCTATCCAATTGGATCTGTCTAGCATGTACCAAGCACCATAACTGTTTACCTATATAAATGTAATTAGTGATCTTTGGTTATCATTGATCAGAAGAACTGCTCCCCAGTTTGAAAAGTATAACTACTAACAGATGTTCATTCCTCAGATCTATGAGCCATGCAAAGAGTTTGTTGAAGGAGACCGAACTAGAATGGCTGCTATGCCTGAAGCTCTAACTGTCCTTAGAACAAGTCAGAGAATACCACCAAGCAGGCCAGTCTGAAGATCAGGAAATATATATCTCTGTATGTTTGTATCTCCAGGAGCTTTCTCTAGATTATGAGACTCTAAGGATTATAGTTATCGCTGCTTTCTCAAGTGTATTGCATCACTAAATATGGAGAAGGCAGAGGATGACAGAAGCACATCACACATCCAGAACTCTCTCTCATTGATTCAAGGTGCCTAAAGCTTTTCAAGCCCTTTTTTTCCATTTATTTGGGTACTTGCTCCTATCCCAGTTGAAGAACATGCTGCTGTTAGCGTGATGCAGGACAAAATGTACACTCATAGGTGTACAAAAAATCTGAATTCTTATTCTGGTTACCATTCATATCACTGGTTAGTCATGTGACTTGAACAAAATGTTCTTATTCACAAACTAGAGATAAAAATGCTTATCTCAGAGCTGGAGAGATAGTACAGCTGGTAGGACACTTGCCTTGCATACTCCCCACCTAGGTTCCATCCCAGGCATCCTATTAAATCTCCTGGTCACTGCTGTCAGAAATAATTCCTAAGTGCAGAGCCAGAAGTAATCCCTGAGCATATCTGGGAGTGGCCAAAACAATAAATAAAATAAAATAATATTGCTTACCTCTCAAAAGCCAAAGAAACTCAGAACTGTCATTTCCCAGCTATTTGAACTGGAGTTATTCTCACCAGGCATGATCTTTGACTGAAAAATTGAGATTTTGTATGTACAGATCCCATAGGTTATTTGGAGCAGGACATTGGTTAATTTGTATAACATCAGTACATATC